CTTTTGGTGACATTCTCTTGCTACAGACCAGAGGAGTGTTTGGTGGGTGGTGGCGTAAGCACGTCTAGCTGGATCTACTACGCTCAGCGAATGACAGGACTCCTGAGGACCCCTGTCTCCGGGCTGCCCAGACCTTCCTGCCCAAGACTAGAGGAGACTTGTGTAGTGGAAAGGAATACAACGCCCGGGGTGACGGGACTTGGTTCAACAGCTCTGCCAGGGACTCCACCGTGGGACCTGAGCAAGCCTTCTGCACCTGCTTCCCCTCTGATCGCTTTTAAAGGGATGGCTTCAGAGTGTTCCTTTTCTGCAAATCTACGATCCTCCGCATGGATGTCACCTCAGTAGCAAATATGGCAAACTCCACCTGTTATTCGTATTGGGGTAGAATAACAACACCACCTACACCTTTCATAGATGAACAAAAAACAAGTACCAAACGTAGTTTACAAACCATAATCAAATTAAATCAACCAATTTCAGAACAAAAATCACCAACCAAATATTGTATTTTAAACTGTTTTTCAACCAGTAAAAGTTCAGTCTCCGTAGAGACTGTCAAAAATTGCCAATGCCGACTATATTTCAAGTCGTCATGGCGGGGTATTGGGAAAAGTTTTCAATTAGCAATAATCGCGCCTCGGATAAACCTCATTGGCTACGATACTGCCACTGCGCAAAGCTAAAGAACGTTACCGCCCGCCCCATTCCCCCACGGATGACAACTACCTTTACATCGACGGTGAGTGACTGCCAGCGCGTTCGTGCATAGGACGCGTTCCCACTCGAGCGGTTATATTTAGAGCCCACCTGCGTGGGAGGCGTCATGCTGTTGAACATCTCGTGTGGAATAATCAGATTTTGGAAATCTTAGAACGTTCGCTTGGGATGCTGGGGCATCTTATGCAAATAAACCTGACGTCACAGAGCTGACCGGGTTTAACGCCTGAAATTTGAGTGAGGAGAAACCGAGCGGCGGGAAAGCGAGGGTGAGCCTTAGGTTCACGAAGGGGACAACTACGGGACAACTAGCTGTACCCCCGGCTGCCTAAAGAGCAGGCGGGCAGGGCCTGCAGAGATATTTTTAGAAAAAGGAATTCTGAAACAGCTGGGGCAAAAAAAGCGTAAGAGACAAAGTGTAGCGTCAGCAAAAGGCAGACCAAGTGACATAGTTAACAAACTACATCATAACGTGAATTAATTACCCGTCACTTTAAGTTACCACTATTTAACCTTATTGTGAAACGTAAGAAAGATAACGTAAGGAACGCAATATAGAGTTCTTTACTTGATAAGCCGAAAATCTTTCACTTACGGCTGAGAAATCGAGAACTGTCAACAGAAAGAAAAACAACCAAAAGTTCCTTTTTTTTAAGAACTGTATTATTCAGTCCCCGTAGGGACCGTCAAAAATTGCCAATGCCGACTATATTTCAAGTCGTCATGGCGGGGTATTGGGAAAAGTTTTCAATTAGCAATAATCGCGCCTCGGATAAACCTCACTGGCTACGATACTGCCACTGCGCAAAGCTAACCAACATTGCCCCCTGCTCATCACTCCCCATAAGCCAGGTTCCTAGTACAGAAAGGCGAGTTTGGGACTCATTTTAAAAACCTTCAACTATTGTTTGCTTGGAAATTATACGATTATGTGAAGACCCTTGTGAAATACATAGGCAATTTCTGCAAATTCGGTTGTGATTTTACTTTGGTTTGGTGGAGAACGAAGCAAAGCATTGTGGGAGGAAACATGCTAATAGACTTAATTCAGAGACTGCAAGGGGCGGTTGAGAAAAATGGGGTCAGTCTGGGTGGTGTTCGCTAGGCTCCCTATTTTCAGTGTAACTACCCAACTATGTTCTGTTCTGTTTTTGTAATTTTATTGTGGTAAAGTATACGTAACAAAATTTACCATTTTAACAATTTTTAAGTGTAAGTTCACGTTGTGCAGCCATCATCACCATTCATCTCCAAAATATTTTATCTTCCCAAACTGGAACTCTGTACTCATGAAACTCTAACTCCCCATTTCCCTCTCTCCCCCAATCCCTGGCAACGTTCATTATGCTTTCTGTATCTGGCTTCCTTATACAAATAGAATCATACAATATTTGTCATTTCTGATCTGGCTTACTTTATTTAGGAATAATATTTTTAAGGTTAGTCCATTTTATAGTATATATCAGGATTTCATTCCTTTAATAGTTGAATAATAATCCATTGTATGGAATTTGGTTTGTCCATTCATTCTTGGATGGACATGGGTTGGTTTCCACCTTTTGGATATTGTGAATAATGCTGCTATTGGTGTCTAAGAATCAGTTTGAGTTTCCGTTTTCATTTCTTTGGGGTATGTACCTAGAGGTGGAATTGCTGAATCGTATGTTAATTCTATGTTTAATTCAAAAGAGTTTTCTTTGGACATCTTAATTCAGAGGAAAGAGGCTGAAAGGAAGAGGCTTTATTTCCATAGAAATGTTCACAGTATGTGAAATTTAAGGTAACTTTCACCCTCACTGCTTGTTTTCCTTTGGGAAGTGGAACGCTGTTAGAAACCTTTATCTGGACTTGTTTGTTACGTATACCTTACCACAATAAAACAACAAAAACAAAACAAAACAAAAAACCTCTTTGGAGAGGATAGTTACACTGCAAATAGGAGCCTAGCGAACAGCACTTGTTTCTGCTCTACATTCTCCAAAATATTTTTCTTTTGGTTTTTGCTACACATTAAAATGCAAATAGCAATCTGCAATGAAGTGACATTTCCCCTAACATTTCATTATAAAAAATTTGCAGCACAGAAAGTTCAAAGAATTGCTCAATGAACATTCATGTACTCATCATCTATATACAAGAATGACATTTTTAAAGGCCTGTTTGATGCCGATGTGTAGTTATTTATTTGTTTTTGTCACAGCCGTAACTACTGTGGGGTAGGAAAAACCAGCAGAAAAAAACAGAAAAGCCTAGCAATCTAGTTAATTTAGATTATTTTACTTTGATCTGATCAAGGACTTAGTCATTAATTCTGGGCGGGGTGGAGTTGTGAGAAATAAAAAGACTAAAGCTCTAATCCCACAAGGGTACAAAAGGAACTGCCCAGCCCTCAGTTGAGTGGCTCATTACACTCTGTCAGCAGCTATCAAGGGAAATTGTGTGTTTCACTAGCTGTCTTGGATGACTTCACCCTCCACGGATGACTTTCCAGCACTATGAGAAAAATTCAAAACCCAGCTAACTTCTCCCCAGAACATGAGATTCTTTGGGGCCTAAAAGCACAATAGTCCTGAATTCCCAGCCAGTCTCTATTAGTGATGCTCATTCCACTTAGAGAACTGAAAAAATAACATGAGTTTGAATTTTTTCATAATAACATTGATGGATGGGGAGGGAGAAGGTCACTGTTTTGACACTTTTATAGGTTTTTATCAAATACCTATAAAATGTGTGCAGAAAATGCACTGCATTATAATTTCTTTTTTTTTTTTTTTTTTTGAGACAGAGTCTCACTTTGTTGCCCTGGCTAGATTGAGTGCCGTGGCGTTAGCCTAGCTCACAGCAACCTCAGACTCCTGGGCTCAAGCAATCCTACTGCCTCAGCCTCCCAAGTAGCTGGGACTACAGGCATGCGCCACCATGTCCAACTAACTTTTTTTCTATATATTTAGAGCTCTCATTAATTTCTTTCTATTTTTGGTAGAGACGGGGTCTCGCTCTTGCTCAGGCTTGTCTCGAACTCCTGAGCTCAAACAATCCGCCTGCCTCGGCCTCCCAGAGAGCTAGGATTACAGGCGTGAGCGCCCAGCCTATAATTTTTTCATTTAACAAAATTTTTAGTTTACGTTCTGGTCCTTTCTTTCAGCAGATACGGTCAGGTTAACTAAGCCACAAAGGGCTGTTGGGTGATTCTCCCGGCCTAGGAGATCCTACAGCTAGTGACTTGTCTACATTGTTGCTGGAGGTATTACTCTCTGTGGACTGAAGAAAAAAGAATCAAACTTTTAAAGAATTAAAGTTAGTTTTATTTGAAGTCCTCTTACTGAGGACTATAGACTGAGACCTATAGCCCGGGAGCAGTTCTGTCGATTGCTCCAACCCAATAGTAGTTCAGCCCACTGCTTATATACAGGCGTTGGGGGTTCTGTACCTGCAAAATCACATCAAACTTGCTCAGAAGTTACATTAAAGCAGAATCACATCAAGATTTGGGCAAAAGAGTACATCTGGCTATAGACTACAGAAGCGTAATCACTAACCCCATCAGATGTAATCTTATGTGCAAGAAAAGGTTAAGGATCAGGGTCATTTATTTTTTAAGGAATACGGTGACTCAGGCAAGAGACACGGGGGTGGGGGTCGTGTGCTCGCTCCTGTTTTGTCTTCAAAGCGTCTTTCCGAGAGCTGCACGTGGTTACAGAGTCAGGGCCTTTGTGAAATTGGTGGCAAGCAGAAATGAGAAACGATGGCTTCTTATGTTTGCTACTTTGTCTCACATCCCAAACTAAAATGAACCATTTTATCAATATTACCTCCATACATAAAATGATAGGACCAGAAGCCAAACTCTGCCTCAAACTTCCATATCAGGCTGGTCTCGAACTCCTGGCCTCAACTGATCCTCCCTGCTTTGGCCTCCCAAAGTGTTGGGATTATAGGAATGAGCCACTGCACCCGGCCTAGATCCATTATTAAAAGCTTCTATCTTAAGAAAGGATGAATTCCCAAGGTAGCGCTGTTTGGATGTGCTGTTTTGCACTCAGGACATTGGCACTGAAGCTCTAACCACTTCTGTCTGAGAGAGAAGACGATGTACCCTTGGCACAGGTGAGAGAGGCCCCTGGCGAACCAAGGTTCAAAAACCTCTAACCAGGAAAGGCCGACAGGGGGCACTCCCGGACGACCCTGGTCCCCTAAGGGTGCTGCGCGGGGGGTTGTGGGACTTGTAGTTTCTCTCGCATCATTTCGGCTTCATGAACTACACTTCCCAAAATGCAAATGCAACCAGGCGGTCCCACTGTCGGGTGTGAAGTGTCCCTTGAGCCGTGGAAGGTAAGCGTGTGTTCCGTGCGGGTTTCTAGAAGAGGTGGATTTCTTGCAAGGGATTCCATTTCTCCTCTTTGCCCTTGGTAGGACTGGGAGGACAGCAGCTGTTCCAATGGAGGGCCTTTTCAGTGGGGTTTCCCTGGTCCTTTGGTCTCAGGAAACCCGACTTTGTATTTGTGCTGTTCTCCTGCCGCTGAGGAATGTCAAAGAGAAAGCCAGGTCCTGAACTCAGGTCTGGAAAGCCAAGCATAAAATAAATGTTTACGTATGGGGTGCATGTCACCAGAGGATTTCTGCATTGTATCAAATAATATTTCAAAGTTTTGTTTTTATTTTTTTCTTTTTCTTCTTTTTTATTTAGAAAACCCGACACTGAGAAGTTTTGTTTTTAAAGCTAGAAAAGCTGACACGCAGGGGTCTTGTCTCTCTGCTGTGTCCAAACAGCAGAGTTGGCGACGGAAGATAAATAATGAATAAAATCAAAAGCCTGAGAGGTCTGAGCAATAACTCGATCAAAACCTAGTCTACTGGAACTCAAATATGCTTCTGTAGCTTGTAGAGAAAGAAGATAATTTTAATTTATAAAATAGAAAGTAGGTTTATGGAACACATAGTCTCCCAAGGGATGGTATTAACTAAAAATATAGATAAATTTATTCCTCTTATAGAGACATCTTTAGATGTAGCCATAGATAGAGTAATAATGGACTATTATGAGATTTAAAGGTTATTGGGGTAAGCCATTAACCTTTTGAAGTTTATAAGGAATTCAGTTCTGTGAAGCCAAGTGTTACTGGAAGAGATGGAATAGGCCTTATGTTTTGCTAGTATCCCACTTTATTATTTTTTTCTCTCCTCCCCTCCCCTTTTAAAATAACATACTTTCCCTTGGATGCAGAAAGCCTTGGCAGATTCACCAGCCACTTGAAGTTAATTTCCATTTGAGGACTGCAGCATAGAATTCTGGCTTAGGTTCTTAAGAGGTCAGGAAGATAAGATTGGCTTAGGCTGTTATGAAACAGTTTAGTGTGTAGACAGGATTTTATTTTGTGGAAGGTATGAGAGATTCTTGACCCCAAAAAAGTATTATTATTATTATTATTATTTGAGACAGAGTCTCACTCTGTTGCCTGAGCTAGAGTGCCGTGGCTCACAGCAACTTCAAACTCCTGAGCTCAAGCGATCCTCCTGTCTCAGCCTCGGAGTAGCTGGGATTACAGGCATGAGTCACCACTTGGGGATTTAGTATAATGTTTTCAATGTTTATCCATGTTGTAGCATGTAGCAGCACTTTGTTCATTTTTGCAGCCTTTTTTTCTTCCATCCTATGGATAGACCACATTTTGTTTGTCATTCATCCGTTGGTGGTTACCTCTGTTTTTAAAACCCTGTTTCTCACATGAGGTTTCTTTTTCTCTAGAATGAGGATGAGCCTTGGGTTGGCTTTCAGGTCAGCAAAAGGCCATTGGGTTGAAAACGTCAGCCGGCAGTGTTCGCATGGATCCATTGAGTCATTTGTGCCACCAAGTCCTCCGTTGGACCCTGAGAAGGTCAAAGAGTTACAGCGCTTCATCGCCCTTTCCAAGAGACTCTTTGTGATGACTGGGGCGGGAATCTCTACCGAGTCGGGGATCCCAGACTACAGGTCAGAAAATGTGGGACTTTATGCGCGCACTGACCGGAGGCCCATCCAGCACAGGGATTTTGTGCAGAGTGCTCCAATCCGCCAGAGGTACTGGGCGAGGAACTTTGTGGGCTGGCCTCAGTTCTCCTCCCACCAGCCTAACCCTGCGCACTGGGCTTTGAGCAACTGGGAGAAACTCGGAAAGTTGTACTGGTTGGTGACCCAAAATGTGGATGCCTTGCACACCAAAGCGGGGAGTCGGCGCCTGACAGAGCTCCATGGATGCATGCACAGGTGCACGAAGGTCTAAAGAACAGTGTGAACGCAAAAATGTGTGTTGTTTTGTGAGAGCAGGGACTTTGGCTGTCTTGATCACTGTTGTCTTAGTTAGACCTTGAGCAAGTTGTTTATTTTGGAGTTGATCCCAGTAAATTCAGTGAGGGAGTGGGGACATAAAACAGGGAAGGAAGGAAGGGTGCATTAATGAGTGGGTTACAGCTTTGAGCAGGTGGGGCTCAGTCAGGGGCTCTGACTATCTGCAATTTCAGAATTGTCTCATTGCAAGTCGAGGAAGCCAGGGTATTTATCTACCATCTCCCATCCCTCATTGGTTGAAGGTCCCTTGTAAGGAATAAACTCCGTAACACTTTGACTCTGCTCTGCCCTAGAAGGCTTCCACGGCCAGAAAAACCTATTTTTAGTAGAGACAGGGTCTCACTCTTGCTCAGGCCGGTCTCGAACTCCTGACGTCAAGCAATCCTCCCGCCTTGGCTTCCCAAAGTGCTAGGATTACAGGCATGAGCCACTGCACCTGGCCAGGGATTTCTAAATGAAGGGAATTTATGGAGTCCAGAGCAGTCTGGCCTGGACTCGGAGGGTTTGGACTGGAGATTAGTATGAAACCAGACTGTCTGGGAAGCTAGACCCAAATCATGGTTACATCTGAAAATCAGGCAGTGCAGTTTGGGTCTGTCGTGAGACACCAAAGGGGACTATTAGTGGTTTCTAAGCAAGAAAGCAACATGATAAAAATAGCATTTGAGGAGAGCTAGACGGGATTAGAAAGAGTAGGTCAGGGAGGTCAGCCTGCAGGACCCAGACTAAGGTGGTATGGGGGAATTAGTTAATGATGCTTATGGGTTCATTAAAAAATTTTTTTCAGGCCAGACGTGGTGGCTCATGCCTGTAATCTCAACACTTTGGGAGACCAAGGCAGGATGATCACTTGAAGCCAGGAGTTTGAGACCAGCCTGGGCAACATAGTGAGACCCTGTCTCTACAAAAAATAAAAATATTAGCCGGGCATGGTGGCAGGCGCCTGTAATCCCAGTGACACAAGAGGCTGGATGGCTCGAGCCCAGGAGTTCGAGGCTGCAGTGAGCTATGATCACACCACTGCACTTCAGCCTGGGCAACAGGACAAGGCTCTGTCTCTAAAAAATTTAAAAAAAAAAGAAAAAAAAAATTTGTTTCATGATGAAAATTTCAAACGTCCTCAAAAGTAAAGAGAATAGTATAATGAATTCCCATATCCCATCACCCGGATTCAAAGGTTTTATGAAGGTGCATCATATCTACTTTGTTATCTCTCCCTGTCTCTTCTTAAATGTTTTAAAACAAATCCAAGACCTTGTGATGTTTCCCAGGGGCTTTTTAAGGGAAGAAATCAACATAATCTGATGGCTGACCAGGATTTCAAGAAGGAAAATGAGGAACACATTTTTTTTCCAAGGGTTTTGGCCCAAGTACCTGGAGGAATGATGGTGCTGGGGAAATTGGGGATGGTGGCTGAACAGGACAGTCTGGAAGACTTGGAGGTTGGGCTAGAGTTTGGGGGAGAGAGCAGGGGTGGAGTCACAGAGGAGGACACCATCATACAGAGGCCTTGAGGCAGTTAAGATGGGTGCCCCTCCAAGGTGGGGAACATAGAAAACAGGGTGGAGGCCTGAGGAGCATCCAGAGGAGGAACCAGCTTTCTATTTTCTCTTTCAACAGCTATGTAGGGAGTGCCACCGTGTGCAGGGACTGCTCTAGGTGGTGGGCATAGGGCACTGGTCAAAAGGCACAAAGTGCTTGCCCTCAGGGAGGTCTCTGGTGCTGAGAGAGGGGAGAAGAGAACCAGGAGGCACTGTGTCATGGAAAGCAAGCGGGAGAAGTATTTGTTTTTTTAGTTTTCAGGCGTTTACACTTTGACAACACGCACATGGGTATGAGGTCTCTCTGACTCCAGTCACAGCAAGGGCTTAGTACATAGTCGACAGCCCAGATATAGGCCCTGGAAACAGAGCTAGGTGGGAGGCAGGACTGCCGAGTTGGTGACATCCCCAAATGTGGCTTTGCCGACAAGAACCTGGCCTGCAGCCAAGGTGACTGGCCCTGGCCTTCCAGGCCTCCAACTTGAAGACACTGCATCCTTCCCCCTGAGCGGAGTCGAATACGTGCTCCTCTCCCATGCTGAGGGTTTTCTGGAGAAAGACTCCTTCTGCCTTTTGGGAGAAGTATCTTAAAGAGAGGGTGGTGACAGATGGCAACAGTGACAGCAGATGAACAAAGCAGAGGATAGAGGGGAAAACACTGGCTTTGGCACTAAGGAAATCATCAGGCAAGGCCTTTGCAGTTGTGTTAAGGATGCAAGCGAGCTAGCAGAAGGTGAAGGAGGGTGTCTAGTAAGGAGACAGATGTACATTACTCGTTCCGAAAGCTTGGCTGTGGAAGGAAAGTGAGAAACAGGGAAGTACTACGGAGGTCATGAGAAAGCATGCCTAAAAACAGGGGAATCTGTGTGCTAGGAAAAGAAAGCAGCGATGGAGGGGTTGAAAATGGCTGGGGATGCAACATCTTGGGTAGCTGTGTGCCTTCCAGGGCCATGCTGTTCAGTTGCCTCTCCTTTGGTGTCAGGGTCCTCTGCTTGGATTGTGGCCAACAGACTCCCCGGGGGGCGCTGCAGGAGCGCTTCCAAGTCCTGAACCCCTCCTGGAGTGCTAAGGCCCATGGCGTAGCTCCCGACGGCGATGTCTTCCTCTCAGAGGAGCAGGTCCGCAGCTTTCAGGTACCATCCTGTGTTCGATGTGGAGGCCCCCTGAAACCAGACGTCGTTTTCTTCGGGGACACAGTGAACCGTGACAAGGTTGATTTTGTGCACGAGCGTGTAAAAGAAGCCGACTCCCTCTTGGTTGTGGGATCGTCCTTGCAGGTATCTGACATGGTCCGATGGTAGCTGCCCCTTTTGAGGGATGGGGAGTCCTGGAGAGGGTCCTTCTCTGGTCTAACTTTGCCTGGATCTAGAGAGCTCTTCCGTGTGTCTTCTCCACGTGCAGGTGTACTCTGGCTACAGGTTTATCCTCACTGCCCGGGAGAAGAAGCTACCGATTGCAATACTGAATATTGGGCCCACGCGGTCGGATGACTTGGCGTGTCTGAAACTGAATTCTCGTTGTGGAGAGTTGCTGCCTTTGATAGATCCACACTGACCACAGCCTGGTGTTCCTGAGCCAGGAACAGGGACTGTCACTGGAATCCTGCTGCTAAAGGTAAACGCCTTCTCAGATAACAGATTCCAGTTCCCATTCAACCAAGAGTCGTGGGGTGCACTGACAAGCTATAAAAGATTCTAAGTTTCTTAATGTATGACCATTCTTAATTACAACTAATTTTTTTTTGAGACAGAGTCTTGCTCTGTTGCCCTGGGTAGAGTGCAGTGGCTCACTGCAACCTCAAACTCCTGGGCTTAAGTGATCCTCCTGCCGCAGCCCCCCCAGTAGCTGGGACTACAGGCATGTGCCAGGATGCCTGGCTAATTTTTCTATTTTTGGTAGAGATGGGATCTCGCTCTTGCTCAGGCTGGTCTCAAACTCCTGAGCTCAAGCGATCCTCCTGCCTCGGCCTCCTGAAGTGCTAGGATTACAGGCGTGAGCCACTGTGCCTGTCCAAAACTAATTTTTTAATGTACATTAAGCTATAGTTTTTCAAATTCTATGCACATAGCTATTGAAGACACTTAAGTGTTCCAAAATCTGCCATTGCCTTTTCCCCATTTTTAAAAATAATGGCTTTAATTGAGATATAATTCACCCATGGTAAAATTTACCCTTTAAAAGTGTACAGTAACCTGGTTTTTAGATACTCACAAAGTTGTGCATTGATCACTACTATCTAATTCCAGAATATTTTCATCATCCCAAGAAGAAACCTTGGGCCCATAAGCAATCATTCACCATCCCCACCCCTGCCTCTGGCAACAACTGGTCTTTCTGTTTCTCCCTATTCTGGACATTTTATACAGTATGTAGCCTCTTTGGTTTCTCCACATAGCATAATGTATTAAAGCATCCAGATCAAGGAAAAGGATGTTAGCACCCAAGAAGTCCATGTGGAACACCACTTTTTAAATATACTTTTAAACTAGTTTTCACATTATTAGAATAATACATATTTATTGTAGAAAGTTTGGACAATACAGATAAGTAAAAAGAAAATAGTACAAATTACCCATAATCTCACCACCAAGATAGCCAAAGTTTAACATTCTGGTATAACTATATCTGTTTTTACAAAAATTGAATCAAACTGTGCTTAAAGTTTTATTATTAAACACATTCTGTTATCACTTAACAATATATAGTGGCCATCTTGCCATGTCCTAAATGTGATGGTTTTTTGAATGGTAGGCTGATGTTCACAAGCATTCCCTCCACTCTACTCCCAGCTTATCTGGGCATTAACTTTTTTCATTTCTTTACAGATCCCTAAGGATTCATCCCTTTTCCCTCAAACTAATCGAAGCTCACTGAGTGCAGCCTAGAGAGGGCAGCAAACCAACATCTCTCTGCCAGCCCATCACTGACCTGGGCAGGTTCCAGAGCCCAGCTAAGGTCATCAAACTGATGAGATTTGCCCTTGAAGAAAGATCTTTTCCAAGAAGCAGCTGCTCTTGATAGGAAAACTGTATTCACTTCCTTTTTTTTTTTATCTCACCTGGCAGAAGAAATGGCCTGGGAAATATTTAAGCCAGAATGGTCTCTGGAGTGCTAACCCAAGGATCTCACTAATGTGGGATGGTGAAGGTAGAAGGAAACGAAATAATTTATAATCCAAATGGTTGTGTCTTTAACTGAACCATTCTGATATATTTTTTGAATAAATATGTGACAGCATGAATGAATTTTTTATTAACTAAGGACTAAAGGAATCCTTTTTAATAGCACACCAAGTGAGTAGGCTATATGTTTATATATATTTTTTAATCAGCTAAAAAGAGAATGGGGCTTTATGACATTCTCTAAGGAGTGATTTCTACTTGATTTCAGCTGTCAAAATGAGACACCTGCTTGAACCTGGTCTGTAGAGAGGAAACAGTTAATTCCCAAGTGGGTTCTTAAGTTGGAGGAAAGACTTGTTTGATTACTGAGTTAGCCGTAAAGAATCAGTGTACCAGGCTAAAGCTTTCTGCACAATTTCATCACAAAGTGAGGTGGATGAAAGAATCACAGTCTCTTCTGGAAAGCTTTTTGTCTAAAATTAGGGCAGGCAATACCTGCTCATCCTGGACCTAGGAGGCAAATTTCAGTTAACTGGGATAATTCAAGATCTTGAAAACACAGAGTTCTTTTCACCCGAACAAATGTAGGTTTGCTCATAGTCATTAATTCTGAAGAGGTGTAAGGTTGTTGTGACTCTCACTGCAGCTTTTTTCAAGATGGGGATCCTAAGGTGCTTTGAACTAGATTTCCTGAGTTACCCAGAGTCAGTACCAACAAATGTATTAAAATCTGGGTCTTTTGAATCTCAAGCCATTCTCATCCCACAAATCTCATCCACAGTTATTGACAGACACTGTATTAAGGTAGTAAGGATACAAAGATACAACTTCTTGTCCTCAAGTGGCTCACAGAGAAAACACTGTTCCCACCACAACCACCACCAAAGGAGAGAATTAGAGAAAATTTAGTCTATCCCCCTCATTTTATTTTTGACGAAATTAAGATCCAGACTTACCTAAGGCCATGCCATGTAGTTTCGGAGCCAGGACTAGAATCCAAGTTTACTTTCCTTCCAGTTCTTTTCTTTTTGAACAAAATGCCTCTCATTTGTCTGCAGATTATGATTAGGCTATGGCAAATTATGGTCAGCCTAAAGTTGAAGTAAAAGCCAGCGGTACAGCAGGCCAAGGAGACCAGAAATGGTTAAAATATAGTGGGTAGTGGAGAACAGGTTAGATTGCCAGGAAGGGAAGGCAGGCTCTTTCAGCACCTCGATGCTGGCACAAATCATGAAATCAAGTCTTGAGGGCCTTAAGAATGTTTGCTTTGTTCATATTTCCTCCTGAGATGGAATGCTTTAAAAAAAATAAACGTGTCCCAAGAGGAACCTGGTATCTCCTGAAACTGACGTTTTTCATGTCTGCCTTCTTACTTTATGTCTTTTGCTTTCTCCCATCTCGGTAGTTCCTAACTCACTGTACGTGCCCCCAGTTAGAGTACAAACTAGTGAGTGCTGTCAGTGTGCCACTGCCCTGGTTAGATGGTTTCTAACTGCACAAGCCCAGCCTTGGTCATGATTTTTGGTTGTATCCCCCCTCAGTTGCTTTGGCAGTTCTGCTCTGCTGTTTTAGAAACTCACAAAGGCAAACAGGTACATAAGACTGGAAACTTCTTCCCTACCAACTTATATTTCTCCTTTTTGTGCTCTCATAAATTGAATATCCTTCTTTCATCTCTCCCTTCAAAAAAGGCATTTATTGAGCACATACTATATCCCAAGCACTGTGCAAAGCATTTTATAACACATCAGGGCTGGGTGTGGTGGCTCACACCTGTAATCCTAGCACTCTGGGGAAGCCAAGGCGGGAGGATCACTTGAGGTCATCAGTTCCAGACCAGCCTGAGCAAGAGCCAGACCCCGTCTCTACTAAAAATAGAAAGAAATTAGCTGGACAACTAAAAACAGAAAAAATTAGCCAGGCGTGGTGGTGCACGCCTGTAGTCCCAGCTTGAGCCCAGGAGTTGAGGTTGCTGTGAGCTAGGTTGACCCTGGCACATAATAAATAAATGCCATCCACTATCATTAGGAGATGGGCAGGATGGAGGAAAAGAAATCATCTTATCTACCTAACCTTTGTGCCCTATTGAGTACTCCTTTAACTAGACTTTGCAATAATCTTGCCCAGACAGAGCCTCACTTCCTTTTGTGTACCTGTTTGTCTTTTTAAAAAGATTACAAAAGCAAGTCTTACTATATGTAATAAAACCTTTCTAAAGAAAATAAAAAGTATCTTTCCCTCTCCTTCCCCTTAGGAAAATATTTATTGAACATCTACTATACGACAAGCATTGTAGGAAGCATCATTTACGCAACGTACTCGTGCATTTCATTCCCACAACCCCATGTTATATGATACAGGCACTATTACTTCTTTTGAAAGATGAAGCTCCTGAAGCTTAAAGACCTCGGGTAAACTGCCCAAGGTCACCTACGGTGACTAGGCCAGTAATCAAAGCCAGTCAGTCCAGTTCTGGCCTCTTCATGCTGTAGAAACCGGTGGGACAACTGAGCGACAGATGGAAGAAGGGCAAAACTCAAGACACTTCCCAGAAGTGACCCAGGCTGGGTCCTGAAAGATGAACATGAGTTCACCAGGCAGAAAAAGGTAAGGTACGCAGGCGGAGCAAACAACCAATGCAAAAGCACGGAGAGTAGACCAGCAAATCGCTTCGCTTTTTTTTCTCCTTCCCCCTGGTGGGGAAAGTGGACTTGGGGCACCTCAGAGGCCTTCGGCTCACCCAACATCCACTTGCCTCTCTGCTTAGCCATCCCTCCTTTCGGCCCCCGCTTTGCTTCCCTGCACCCCACTTTCCCGGCCCCCTCGTCCCTCCTCGGGATAAAAGCAATTGAGGGGTTGCCAACCTTTGGAAACAGGCAAGGGGAGGGGATGAGTGACCCAGAGAGGACAAGCACAGCAAGAGAGCTGGCCTCAGTGTCGCGCCCACGTGAGTGTGCCTGTGCCCTCTTTTCACACTCGAACACCCACTCTGTCCATCCTGCCGGATTCTGGCTCAGGAAAACAGCGCTGCCAGGGCCTCATGAAGCTGAGCCGCCACAGCCATCCCACACAGACGCCACGGGCAGCTAGTGTTGCTAGCCATTGCGCCTGCGCAAGCTCGGGCCCGGTGCGTGCTGGGAAGGGCGGAGCCTGAGCCTGGCGGGTGTGGAGGTAGGCACGGGCCTGGGCCGCTATTCACCAATAGAAAAACAGAGACAGGGCGCCACGTGCCCATAAGTTATCCAATCACACATCTTCTGGTCGTGGAGAGGGACGCAAGGTTGACTGGGTGGGGCGCACATGGTCACGTGACGTGAAAAGGTAAATACGGCCACGTGGCTTTTTTCTCCTTGGCTTGGGCGAACCATTAGGTCACACTGTAGGGTCGTTGAAGCAATTATTAAATCAGCATGTGTGATGTGTTGGATACTGTGAAGATACTGTGGCCGCCATTTGCTTTTTCCCCAAGTGTATTGGAGAGGAGCAAAGTTTTGACATAATCTAAAATCTCTCAGTCTCCTTTAATTATTTATTCATTCAACTCATCCTAGCCTCTGTGCTTGTGTTTCCCGTATCCCACTTCTAGTAATGGGCACTCAGCAAATGCTCATTTAAAGATTGTTAAAGAAATTTATTCTCTCTCTCCCAAGCCTTGGGATGGAGAAAAAGACATAGATTTTTACATAAGAGGATATATTTTTTGTTTCTGTTTTTGTTTTGAGACAGGGTCTCCCTCTGTCACCCTGGCTGGAGTGCAGTGGCGTCATCATAGCTCACTGCAACCTCCAACTCCTGGGCTCAAGTGATCCTCCTGCGTCAGCCTCCTGAGTAGCTGGGGCTACAGGCGTGCTACCATGCCTGGCTGATTTTTCTATTTTTTTGTGGAGATGGAGTCTTGCTCTTGCTCAGGCTAGCCTCAAACTCCTGGCCTCAAGCAATCTTCCTGTGTGGGCCTCCCAGAATGCTAAGATTACAGGCATGAGCCCCCAGGCGCCTGGCCAGAGGAAATTTTTTGAGCCCACGTATAACCTTTAGTATCCTTGTGACTCTGTTCTCGGTCCTGTTTGTTGTGCCATCTGAAAAAAAAAAAAAACGGGAGTAAGCACCAATCTCCTATAAGCTCACCTGTCTTCCATCCATACAGGGGTTTGCAGTTTCTTTCCATTGAAGAAAGGTGGTATTATCACCTTTCCAGTTTGTTGAAGGCTGAGGCCAGGTCTAACTTAATTTTACATATCTTGGCTGTCTTACATAGCATAGTCTGCAAAGAATGCAATCTATGCTTGTTGAATTTGAGAATAGTTTCGATGTTGCCTGCCAAAGAACTAAAAAGACCCTGAGCACTGACAACCAGACTTCATTTAGCATTCTGCCATCATTCGATTGTCCTCTATGTGCCAAGTACAGTACTAGGCAGTTGGAGATACAAAAGTGACTAAGACGCTTCACTCTGCCTTCGACGAGTTTCACGGTCTGATGGCACTTCTCTGAATTATCCAGATTTGGGCTCCAAGCTCATCTGTGCCATTCAGGAAATGAGTGACTATAGGCAAATCACTTGCTTCTTTAAGCTAGTTTTCTCATCTGTAAAATGTGGAGAAAATAGTACCTACAGCTACAGACTTTGAGGAAGACGATTGTGCAAAATGCATGGCATCATCAGTAGTATAGAGCATAGTATATATAAGGATGCCAGTTTGAAGAGAGAAAGGAAAGTCTCGGAGCAGACTGAATTGCAGACAGCTAATAACACTAAGTCATTGTCTTGATGCCAGCCCCAAATACAGTGTCCTCAGCAACTTTGTACAGTGCCTGGTCCCCAGAGTAAGTGTTCAATAAATAATCATTGAGGCCGGGCGCGGTGGCTCACGCCTGTAATCCTAGCACTCTGGGAGGCCGAGGCGGGCGGATCGTTCTGAGCTCGGGAGTTCGAGGCCAGCCTGAGCAAGAGCGAGACCCTGTCTCTACCAAAAAATGAAAAGAAATTAATTGGACAGCTAAAAATATATGTAGAAAAAATTAGCCGGGCATGGTGGCGCATGCCTGTGGTCCCAGCTACCCAGGAGGCTGAGACAGTAGGATTGCTTGAGCCCAGGAGTTTGAGGTTGCTGTGAGCTAGGCTGACGCCACGGCACTCGCCCCAGGCAAGAGAGTGAGACTTTGTCTCAAAAAAAAAAATAAAATAAAATAAAAAATAAATAATCATTGACAATATCTGGGTGATGGGCATGTTTATAACTTTGACTCAAGCAGTACAGAAGCAATCCATGTAACCAAAACATTTGTACCCCTGTAATATTCTGAAATAAAAAAATTTTTAAAAATCATTGAGTGGATGAATAAAATGAAGGAGAAATTATGCTTAAAGATAAGTTCACATACACTGTCTTCTTCAAAGGGAAGTTCCTTTGCTGCCCACCACACACCCAGAAGTGGCAGCTATTCTTTCAGCCTCCAGTGGTCTGACACTGCTTAGTGGTGGCTTCCTTATAGTCTCAATGGTCTTTTCTTTTCTAATTCAGCTTCTTTCTCTGCTGTTTCCCATTTGCTCTAGTGAATTTCAATGCCAGTGCACTCACAAGGAAATTTGGCTGGGTGACTTAGTGGTTAAGAGCTCAGGCATTGCCATCAGACAGATCTGGTCAAATCCTCACTGCCATTTGTGTGATTTTAGGCAAATGACTCAACTTCTCTGAGATTTTGTGTTTACTTATTTATTTATTTATTTTTGAGACAGAGTCTTGCTCTGTTGCCTGGGCTAGAGTACCATGGCGTCAGGCGAGCTCACAGAAACCTCAAACTCCTGGGCTCAGGCAATCCTGCCTCAGCCTCCCGAGTAGCTGGGACTACAGGCATGCGCCACCATGCCTGGCTAATTTTTTCTATATATTTTTAGTTGTCCAGCTAATTTCTTTCTATTTTTAGTAGAGACAGGGTCTCACTCTTGCTCAGGCTGGTCTTGAACTCCTGACCTTGAGTGATCCTCCTGCCTCGGCCTCCCAGAGTGCTAGGATTACAGGCGTGAGCCATCATGCCCGGCCTGTTTATTTATTTTTTTTAACTGTACACAGATGGGATTCTCTGAGGTTTTAGTTCCTCATCCATAAGTGGGGGGCAATAATATCAATCTCACAGAGCTCGTTTGAACATTTATTTATTTTTATTTATTTATTTTTTTGAGACAGAGTCTCACTCTGTCCTTCAGGATGGAGTGCAGTGGCACAATCATAACTCACTGCAGCCTCAAACTCCTGGACTCGAGCCATCCTCCTACTTCAGTCTCCCAAGCAGCTGGGACTACCACCACACCCAGCTGATTGGTTTGAACATTTAATGAGATGAGATGCAGTAGCATGAAGTCACTGCTCAGAAAGTGGAAGCAGTTATTTATTATTATATTTGATGACTACAATGTAAAAATCAGCTCATAGAGTGTGATGAAGTCTTTAAAGGGTTTAGAAAAGGAAATAGTTGTAGAAAAAATGGTTTAACGCAATTGGAAATGGAGGCAGAGGCATGAGAAGGGGCTAAGATCTGGCTCAAACTAAACAAGAGCGCCCACTTCAGGCAGAGCAGGGTTGTGGTTTAGCATGTGTGTTCTGTTGTCAGATTCCCTGGGTTCAGATACCTTCTGTGCTGCTTGCTATATGATAGCATCGGGCAAATGACATCTCTTGTTGAGCCTCAGCTTAGAAAAGTAAGATTTGCTAATAGTGCCAATACCTCATAGGGCTGTACAGAGGATTTAGGGGCACTCAGTCCTGGTACAGAGTAAATAATCAGTAGATGGTGGGTGTTAATCAGTATTCAGGTTTCAAGGCGCTTGCTTCCTGGAAATATTCATCTAATTTAACTTCTACTTCCAAGGCTGGAAGGAACGATGTTCCAAGGACTAGGCAGACAGTTATGTACAGCAGACAGAGAATAAAACAGTATCCAAACGTGAGGTCTTTCAACAAGGTGCTTTATTTGAGGCCGGCGCGTAAGGCAAAGGCAAGGAGGCAGGTAAGGGGTGATGCTTTTCAAGGGTGAGTCTCAGTCCTGACAATACTTCTTGGTGTCCAGGTTCTTGTTCTCCGCGTTGTAGGGAACCTTTGAAAAACAGGTGGCAGCATTGAGGTCGCAGTTGCAGATGAAGGCCTCACACTCTTCGTTGTTGCCTGGAGTGGGATAAAAGAAGAGGACTGAGCCAAAGCGGACCCTGCTTTGTACAGTCCAGGGGCAGGAAGAATTAATTGGAATAGGCCGGGCGTGGTGGCTCACGCCTGTAATCCTAGCACTCTGGGAGGCCGAGGCGGGCGGATCGTTTGAGCTCAGGAGTGCGAGACCAGCCTGAGCAAGAGCGAGACCCCGTCTCTACTAAAAAAATAGAAAGAAATTATTTGGACAACTAAAA